CGAAACGAGGGAGGAAGTCCCGTGGACTGCGTCAACATGAATATCGTATAAAATCCAAACGGCTGCAGTATAACGAGATGTATCCATCCTCATCTGGTGAGATCGACCAACGAATCTCTTCTTCATTCACTTTCATACGAAATGAAAGTCCTCCTAACAATGTTATCTCAAGAGATTCATCGAAACCCAGTTTCTCTTCGTACCTACATTCACTTTTTGTTAATTACTAAGTTTTCTAGACTTCTAGTAGATGAGAATATCTTTCAGGAAGCAAGGCTAAGTGAAATTCAATGGAAGCGTAAGTTATAATCGTATTATTATGGGAAAATTCAACTACCAGTCCCTCATCAATTTAACGAAATAGGGTAAATACATTTCACATATGTGATCCTTCATGTATGTGCCCTTAGATGGGACACCTGATTAGACTTCTTTCACTGCACTTGCCCTCTTGATTTTCATTTCTCCCTAAATTTTTTTGTTAGATAGATGCGCTTGATTTTAATGTCTCCTTTTGAATGTCTCCTTTCATAAATGCCGTATTTTTGACATTTGGCTCTAACATTAAGCTCAATTCTCTCTGAATCTATCTTCTTTCATTATATGAGATGTATTTAACCAATTTCGTTTAAGGTGATTAAGTTCTGCTAGTAGAATTTTCCCACAATGCTATGGGTAGAGCTGACTTTTCTATTGAATTTCACAAGGGCTTGCTTTCCTAAAAGTTGTTCTCATCCAGGATGGACTGCAGTTTCGACATCGCATAGGTCTTATCAAAAACCCCAGCGGGAGTGGAACCATGGCAGTATTGCATGTGAGATTGACAATTTAACCAATAGGCCATATTGCCACGAGTGCCGTTGGGTCACAGGGCCGATGTGAATTTCAAGGAAGGCCAGGCCTTTTCCCATATCACATTCTTGGATGGGAATGTGTGCGAAAACAAAGTCAAGCCAACTCTATATGGCAAAATGAGACTGCTACCAGAACACAGGCCACACTATCTTGGTCATAATCTTCTCGAACAGGTTAGAAACTTTTTTTTACATTACACAAACATTTAAGCGAAAAGTTATAATTCGATTTTTGCATGGGTATAGAGAAAAATGAAAATTTAAAAATACATTTATTCCTTTCAATGTTTTTTATCCTCCATTCAGTTCTAATAGACACAAAGCTATCTTCCGAAGCCCTTGCTTGACGATCCCATGTTTGTCCTCAGATCATGGAGCCTGGAATTCTTCACCAGGGTCTTCTTTGCACGCACCTCTACAGACTTCTGTTGCCTTCAATCTGTGTAGCAGGGAGTCGAGACAATCGAATCCCGTGGTGGCTGATTATAGCAATTTATCTTGTCTAAGTAACTCTGCCATTTGTTCTACACAGGCGTCTGATGTCATTTGTGCTCTGCCATTCAGGTATCGGGATTTTGTTTCTGAGCCTGCAGCTAAGGCGTCATTAGAGCGATGTGCAGATTCAGAGATTATCGACAATTATGTCCCAACTACAAAAGTATGCTTGCTTCCATAATTCGTATAGCTTCTCTTTAAAAAACATCTTGACATGTTTACTGCGATGTAGCACATTTAAAATTTACTTTTTTACTTAGATATGAAACTAAGCTGGGTTTCGAAAGTTATTTGATGAATAAAATGTTGGCATACATTTCATTTTATTTGACAAGGCAGCTGGAAGGGATTTATAAATTGACTTTACTCAATATCAAAGGACGAGTGCCCTGGACTTGTGACAATTTTATTGTGCAAAGACCTTGGTCGCTGTCCTTGAAGGTCGCATATCCCTTACACCCGCCTTTTCAAACCAAATGAAAAGTATGCTGGCTTTACTTTTATACTGTTTTCTCAAACATAGATATGAAGACCAAGATGTTGTGGCCTTCTGTTTGGTCGCAGTCTCCTTAAGCTTTATAATGTTGGTTCGACCTCGTTTTCGCAGCTTGGTCAGACCGTCAGGGAGGCATTGTGTAACGAATCTGGTTTTGTGTAATCTGCTATAATATTCAACTTGGTACATTCCCATGTAGATGTTACTTGTATCCTTGCTACTCTTCCTGTTTTTGATTCATAATGTTCCAATGTCTTTAGGATTATTACTATCTCCATTTCCTTTCTTTCTCCCCAGTGAACTTGTCCGAGATATTGATTACCTCCGCAAGGATGTTTTCAAGAACGTTTCTGTCATTTTGAAAATAAAGGGTTAGTTCTTTTTCCATATCTTAGTTGTTTCGGGATGGAGAGGAAATGAGGATAGATTCAGTAATTTATCCCAATCGTTGTACTAATTAGTAGGTGTTGTCATTCGGTAAACCAGATCCATTTAGCGCAGTGGCTTTAACTTACTGTTAATTTCATACCTAAACAATTTTTTCCTATATATTAGATGTGTTCACTATTCCGTTTAGGGTGCTAGTTGAATTTTCTCACAAGGATATGAATAGACCTTATCTCTATCATATCTTTTTGCTATTTAGCCTGTGATCATAGGTGATTTCTTGTCGATCATATTATGGAGTTTTTAAAAATCCTTCTCGATCAGAATGATGGCTAGATCACGCTGGAGCTTGGACTTGATATATATAAACTTAATTAAAGCTATGATGACCAAGATGGTGTAGCCCTCTGCATGATCGCGCTCTCCTTTTGCTTTATACAAGTGGGTTGACCTTGTTTTCGTAACTTAGTTGAACGCACCTTGTCAGAAGTTCTCTGTCATACAGAAAAAGGAGTGATAGTGTAACCGTTTAGACAGGACGTTGATCGAATGATTGCCTTCACTTGTTTCTTTAACGAGTTCGTAGCTTGGTGCGGATAATGGCAAGACCGACTGATGTTGCCGGCGAAATGTCTGAGAATGTACCAATTCCAGAGTCTAATGTTGCGAATTATGTTAACTACTATGGCCAAGGACTTCGGACAAGGTGCCTTCAACTAAGTCTCCCTGACAATAAGACCAAGTTACGAAAAAGAGGTCAACCCATTTCTATAAACTTAACTAATTTATTTCTCTCTATATGATACCTTTTTCCTGCTTCCTGAATGGAGGCCGAGTTAAGATTATTATTAACTCTGTCCGGATAGTAATGTCCGACTACGATGCCAGTGAGATTTCTGAATATGTACCAAATCCACAGTCCAACGTCGGGAATTATCATAACTACTATAGCAGAGGATTTCTGACAAGTTGCGTCCAACTAGGTCTTTCTTAGAACACGACCAAGTTGCTAAAACTAGATTAGATCACTTCTATAAAGCGAAATGATGCTTTGATTAAAACAGAAGCCACAATATCTTATTTCATACATTTATTTGATCAGCGTGAAGTAATATTTAGTCCTCCATGGAATTATAAAAGAATAAGAGTTTAAATCCTTTGAATTTTCTCGTTATTGATGAATATGGTAAGATAAACAGAGATATTTATAGGAAGCTAGCATATGTTGATGCCATTCTTAATTATCGTTCTGACCATATTTACGTAGCTAAAGTCTGGTATTTTGAAGTTAAAGATGATAAGAAATATGAGGCTTGCTCATAGGAAGCGTTTGATCGGCTTGATTTAATATTAACTTAAAACTTTTGCAAAGGTAAGTCCGAGCTCTGATGATGCCTTTCACATCATGAGCAAACGTCCATTTTGTTTTTAACTTCTAGGTATTGAATTCGTCATTTACCTGAATTGGTTTTTAATATAATCTATTCCACAATATTGCCAGAACATAATTTCATCCATTTTAAAGCATAAATCAAGCCTTTGGCTTATTTTTTTGAAGCAAGTCCTTTTCACCATAGTCTGCTCGTGTCATCTAATATTTTATTCTGTAATATATTTTACCTTACCACTTTCTTTGTCTATTTACAGATACGAGGTGATGATATTAATATTGAACTAGAGCTATTCGCATACAAGTCTGTTGCCACTGACCATCGGGAAAGTTTTCCAAACGCAGACCCGACTCTTGTATTGCGATCAAGTGAACATTTAGCAATGTCCCATCAAGCTAGGGTTAATGAGGATGCTGATACACCAGACGAAAGTTGCGCTGACGATACTTTAGATGAAAACAATGTAATCGGAGTGGGATTGAGCGATTCGTCAACATCGAATTACGATTTAGGTCTGTGGAAGATCATAGTTTTATTAAACCAAACATATTTCGCTAGTAAGATTTTGGTGCGTCATTAAACATTTATTGTTTTTGGAACTGATAGCTTATTAGTATACGATCAATGGATAATCGGTTTTCTATAAAATGTAAAATGCATCATTAAAATATGTTCTCGTCCAGAGTGTACTCCATATTATTATTTGCCTATGATCAGCAACTAAATGGCTATTGAACCTAATCTCAAAGACCTCAGGTTAGGGAAAGTTACCGCTAAATCACGCATGCGCTGTTTAATTATGCAGCAGATATAGATTACAACGCAAAAAGTACGTCTCAACTCTCACTTCTGATAAAGATACAATGATAAGTCATAAGTGGGGACGCGAGCGTTTGCTCCCGCACGATCATGTTTGGTCGTGATTTGGGATCGTAATCATATCATGGTTAGGATGAAATTACTCTATTCTCGGTTTTAGATTCATGGTAACATGAAATTCACTTGCAACAAAGCCTTCTATTTTTTATGGGTAGTTTAG